TGTGGGTGATTTAGAGGTGGCTGGGTGGGCATGGCCGACTGGGTGGGCATGGCCAACCTGACACCACTCCCCAAATTGCTCTCATGTTTCCTCTTCACATTGGGTAGACCAGGCCAGAGGTGCAATTCAAATAATTTAACAACCGGTTCTCTGCTCTAATAACCAGCTGGGTAGGCGTGGCTTGGTGGTCGTGTGGGCGTGGCCAACTCAACGGCACTCACATCAATGGGTGTTTCGCCTTAGCTGTGACAATGGAATAAGGGTTAACCGAAGAGGCAGTTTCTGTAAGCAGGGCAATAAAGATTAGGCTAGAAACAGCAGCAGAATGTTTCCTTCCTGCCTTCCTTACAGGATTAGCCCTGTAAAGTGGGAAAAAAACAAAATAAGATTTCTTCCACTAACCAGTTCTCCGAACTGCTTAGAAAGTTGACAGCTGGTTCTCCTGATTAGGTGCAAACTGGCTGAATCCCACCACTGGACCGGGCCGAATCTATGCTGGCTGATCACATTGTGGTGTGGATCACAGTCAGGATCTGGCCACATCATGGGCCTAGAGTTTGACATCCCTGCTGTAGTTGATGATTTCAATATTGAAACGACATTGAATTGAATTGATTTCTGTGTCTTTCAGAGTAGAAGATGAGTCTCGGCAGCTTCTTCTTCATCTTCATCTTGCTCCCTCTTGTCACCCCGGATTGTCCCAGCCCTTGCCGTTGTGCCATCAACATCGTCGACTGCATGTCGACCAGTCTCACGGATGGCACGATCCCCCTCTCCTTCTCATCCTCCACGGAAAAGCTGTTCCTCAACAACAACTACCTGACCTTCATCCCCAAAGGTCTCTTCGACAACCTGCACAACCTCCAGGCTGTTTACCTGCGGGGGAATCCTTGGGAATGCACCTGCAATATCCTCTACCTCCGCTCCTGGCTCCAGTGGCAAGACAACCGGACTCTCTATCGCGACGTGGTGTGTTCGACCCCTGCCCACCTTCAAGGTCGGATTATCACCTACCTGTCTGAAGATGAAATCATCTCTACCTGCCAGTCCTGGTACTGCGGTGTGGCTCTGGTGGCCCAGATCTGCCTCTTTGTCTTCGTCCTGGTGCAGGCCATCTTGCTGCTTCTGGTGGTCTTCTACATCTGCAGGTTCCAGCGGATAGCTAAGGAAGCCAGGAGGACAATGGTGGATGTTTATGAGAATATGGATCTGTGGGAAAGCGCTCGTAAGAACAGTATTGACTGAGGGTCCGTGGAGATTCTCAATCATCCAGGTGTTCTGACCGAGGCTTCCCAAAAGCATGAAACAAACTCTTTGTCCTGACCCCCCCAAAAAACCTTTTATTAATTAACTGTGAATTCTGCTCATTCACATCCAGCAAAGTCTTTCGAGGGAGGATTTACAGTCACAGACCTGATCTGGCTTGGAGAGCTGCCAGGCTGAGATCTGCAAAACTTGGCCAGGAGCCTTTGAGAGTCACAAACCAATGAAGCAACCAATGAATGGTCTCCTGCAAGCTCCACTCCCCTTTCGCTCCTCTTTTATTCCCTATGGGAGGGGCCATTCACTGTCTACCCGTGCTCTTACTCCCAAGTCAGCCCTTGTTCCTCAGCTATTCCCTTCATTTGGCAACTCTGCGCATGCGCACACTGGGAACAGGCTCCAGCTGTTCTTCTGCCCCACTGATCTCTGACTCCGAAGGCAGCTGACAACTGTCGGACAGCCTCCTCTCTGCCTCTAATGCAGAGCCCCTATCAGAGCCTCCTCCAGACTCCAGGACTGGCCCATGTTCCTCCCCAATCTCTTCACTCTCCGAATCTGACGCCAGCTCTGCTGGCCACTGGCTGGCTGCAACACCAGGTCATGGTTATCCCAAAATGCTTTTCAAAAGGCAACTGGACTTCCTTAGGGTTTTTTTTCCCCTTGTGAAGATCTTTTGCTTCTCATCCAAGAAGCTTCTTCAGTTCCAGGAAGCTTCTTCTTCAACTGAAGAAGCTTCTTGGATGAGAAGCA